CATTCCATAGATTGGGTATTTCACAGCAACTCTCTGTGTGCATATTGATAATCATAGGGGTCGTCTTGATACTACCCATCATATTAATCTTGGAAGAACCACTGAGGAAGAACACCACCACTGACCACCCTTCAACGATGAAAGATCCAGCAGAGCAACACCATTCACACTAGAGAGTAAAAATGTCACGTGCGGGCATTGCAGGAATCAGGCAGGTCCCAAATGCAGTACTGGAGAGACTTTTTCTGATGCAGGTAGTTTATTTACAAGTGCAAGGCCAAAACAACAAAAAAACTCACTTCTTCACAAGACCAGGAACAAGGCATAAACCAGACAAGGAATGAACTACTAAGTACAAACTAAGAACTCGAAGGACACACTAAGCTGAGCACAGGAACAGATACAATGATCCAACACAATCACAATGATCCCAACCACGCCAGAGTGAGGGAGAGGGGTATATATACACAGGGAGCACCAGGTGACAGAAGTGAAGCTAATTACAAACAGGTGAGTGTGATCCCACAGATTACCCCACAAAGCAGACAACAGGAAAAGGAAACAGACAGACATGACAAAAAAGAGAAAACACTGAAGCAACGAATGATTCTAAATGTTTAAATAACTATGATGATATTACTCTTGAATATTTATTAGGTAAGACAACAATTGGAACTACACTTACAAACCTTATGACCTATATGTGTGTTTTCATTGTTATGTCCATAGCTCGATGTGAACAGCTGTCCCATGAAGGAGGATGTTGTGAGGATTGGAACATGGTAGTAGGATATACAGGTCAATGGATTCCCACAATGTCAGATAAAAATGTGTACAGAGACAAAGACATTTGAAATCAATTGAAAATTCTACGTGATTTTCCAACACCCAAAATCCGATCACTATGTCCCTGAATTGGACTAAATTACCAATGGGGAGTAATTGGAAACTCTCTGGTAAAACAAATCAAACACAAACAAATACTGTACATTTGGTCGTTGGAGTAGATCAGACTGGAGTGGGATTCATTAGAGTAGTAATTAGGAATGAAATAACGAAACATGACACAACTTTGTTGACACCTGTAACTCAATCTTCCCACCAATTTCAAATAAAACTAAAACAGTAGCATTTACTCCTCATAAAGGCAAAGGAGACTATGTGTGATATGAAAATGAACGTGTTATGGAAAACCTAGCCTTAGGAGCCATAATGCAGGATAAGAGAATTTGGCAGTCATCAATGATAAACAGGAGGGAAATGTTGGAAGAATTTAATTTATTATCATTGCTTCATGCTAACCCAGCCACTAGGGTACACAAAGTGTTTTATAGTGCCGGTCCCAAGCCCGGATAAATGGTGGGGGTTGCGTCAGGAAGCACATCTGGCGTAAAACCTTTAGCCAAATCAAAT